TGTCTCCATTTCAAGATGTGTTGAATTAGAGTTTACTTGTTACATTTTAGACTTGAAACTGTGTAGATTTTCTTTTTTTCGTAAACTGTCACTCGCAAAAATCATTTAAAACGATGAAGTGATTTCCTACCTCCCAGGGGTGTCTTCATTTGGTCAAAGTTATGGGGTGATTGAATATCTGTAGCATTCCCACAGCGCGGCTCATCTTCAGCTGGGTCAGAACAATATAGTGTGGTGAAGCCAAAAAAATTAAACATAACCAAAAAGAAAGCACAACAGTAATACAAAATGGTTTAAAACTTTGGCAGCAATTTCATACTGCAACCAAATGTCAGTGGAGCTGAAATGAAGACTCAGGATTTTGAAGCTTTAATTTACATTTTGTAGTCTTGTTGACATTGAAGAGATTCAGGAGGACTGAAAGAAAGGCTCAGTGGCCAAGTTTGTAAGCTACAGGAAAATACATTTGTCCTATGGTGAAGGGAAATTTTTCTAAAAACTTGGTGGAAATGAGAGTTGTAAGCAAGATACAAAGAGGCTTCCAGGAGATTTAGACAGGCTTAGTGAGCAGACAGGAGCATGGTAAAAGGAATGTAATGTGGACAAAGAACGAAAGTACAGAGTTAGACCATAAGAGAGGAGTGGACATAGGTCATTCAGCCCATCGAGTCTACTCTGCCAGTGAGATCATGACTAATCTGACAATCATCAACTCCACTTTCCTGCCTTTTCTCATGACCCTCAATTCCCTTCCACATTGAAAATCTGCATCTCCCAACCTTGAACACGCTTACTGACCTAGCCTCGGCTGTCACAATAACTTAGCTCCTTCTTTCCCCAGAACTGGTGCCAGTACCTCATGAATCAAGTCAATTGGACCATTTATGAATTATATGTATAATGCTATTAATAATTCTTTTCCTAACTTTCTGATTGATTACTTTTCTGGTTATGTCTAATTTGTGCTCTCTCACTGCCACAATATCAACAAAGGAGAGTTAACGAGGACCAATGCACCCGGATTCACAAGGATTTTGACTTTTAAAATAACTAGATTAAATGCAGGGGGCAACGTAATTTAACTTAGATAGGTACAAAATAATTATTATGGAATTTAAAAACCAAAAAAGTATGCGATACACAGACCACCATGCTGATCAGAAGAGATCTAGCATATGAAGTCTATGTGTTTGTGAGTGATAGTTTTTAATTCTAGCAAGGGCAGCTAATGTACTGAATTTCAGTTGTCAGGTGCTGGGAGTATAAATCCAAAGAGAGATACCTTTGCCTTACAAAGTGTTCAACAGGTCTCACCCAGGTTGTTTCATGCTCTGGGCACCAGAGAGAATATATAAGTATTCATGAGACAATGGAAGTTGACAAGGAAAGAGATACTGGGTTCAGGATTTCACTTTACGGAGTAAGCTTAAATTAAGAGAAGTTATAAACAATTGAAAGTTTTTGCAGTTGTGAAGTGAGATGATCTGAGCAAGCAATTCACTGCATTGACGTGCTCAAAGGTCACAGAATGCACTTTTGAAATTGTTAAAATTATGAACGGTAGTCAAAAGCAACTTTTTCCACTCACTTGGGTCTGGCTCTTCCTCAGTTTTTATTCTTTGTTTCTGATGCGCTGAACATGCCTGGGGCGACTCTATGTTGTTGTATGCAGAAATATTGCTAAGTTTCTCTCCAGCTGGTCTGCTTTTATGCCAAGGTCTGTTTACTTCTTCATCCCCGTGCCAAATAAACAGTTCATGTGCTGGTTCAATTGAGCGACACACTCTGTAATAGAGCTTTCCACTAAACTGGGAAAGGATCAGATTTGTCTCTTCTGGCGTTTTAGCAAGATTCACAAACCTGCATCAAGTATAGAATTTTTTCATTACAAAAGTTGAATTTCAATCTTCCCTCAAGTCATCAGAACATCATTCTACGTGTTCTATCTTTTACCTTTGCGCGAGTGCCATATTTCTTCTGCTCGTGTTTACTCAATAAAGGTCCTGGAGAGTGTTGCTGAACAAAGAGACCTTGGAATGCGGGTTCATAGTTTCTTGAAAGTAGAGTCGCAGGGAGATGGGATAGTGAACAAAGTGTTTGGTACGCTTACCTTTATTGGTCAGTGCATTGAGTACAGGAGCTGGGAGGTCATGTTATGGCTGTACAGGACATTGGCCAGGCCACTTTTGGAATACTGCATTCAGTTCTGGTCTTTCTGCTATAGAAAGGAATGTGAACCTGTTGTGAAACTTGAAAGGGTTCAGAAAAAATTTACAAGCATGTTGCTAGGGTTGGAGGGTTTGTCCTATAGGGAGAGGCTGAATAAGCTGGGGCTATCTTCCCTGGAGCATTGGAGGCTGAGGGATGACCTGACAGAGGTTTATAAAATCATGAGGGGCACAGATAGAGTGAATGGCCAAGGTCTTTTCCCTAGGGTACAGTGCATCGGTTTAGGGTAAGAGGGGAAAGATTTAAAAGGGACTTAACGGGCATTGTTTTCACTCAGAAGGTGGTGCATGTATTGAACAAGCTGCCAGAGGAAATGGTGGAGGCTGGTACAATTACAACATTTAAAAGGCATCTGGATGGGTACACGAATAGGAAGGGTTCTGGCAAATGGGACTAGATTAATTTAGGATATCTGGTCGATATGGACGAGTGGGACTAAAGGGTCTGTTTCCTTGCTGTACATCTGTATGATTCTAAACATATAATAATGAGAAACCTGTTGTTTAGTAACTTAAGATCTTGGCTGTTCTTTCCCAGTGGGAAAATAAGAAAACAGTCAAGTGTGGTACACTTGGAAAACAGTAGTGATTTCATGGTGCTAGAATAGTTTTTGCCATTAGAGGCTATAACAAAACATACCTAACTTGTCAAGCATGATGAGATCAAAGAACAGTGGTAGCACTGTACACACTGGCCTGGTTTAGAATCAAATACTACCACTACAGAAACACCAACTGCAGCTGATACAATCCCCTGACCTCAGCAGGCTCACAGAGGAATCAAGTTAAAAGCTGCAGTGGAATGCCTTTCCCTTCCCTTCTCCTTCTTTAGCATTAAGCTTCACCCACCTTCCTCTCAACTATTGTCCTATCAAACTGATGAGTGTAGAAGCTCGGCAAGGTGTGAACTTCAATTGCGTGACACCATTGCAGCCATTCAATTAGAATTTTTTTTAATTCATTAAACATTAACACTGTTACTAATTGCTTCTTCAAAGACTTGTGGAGTGTTTCAGATGAGTGAATGGGCTGTCAATCTATTAAGTTTTGAATTCAATCTCTGTCCCACGTGGAGTCTTCTGATCTCACCAGGTGTATCTGTTGGGGTGCTACAATTGTTCTGTGTCTCTAGATTAGAGAAAAGAAAGGTGCACAAGGTTACGACTGATCGTTATCTTATTATTCCTGAGATGTTATGCGCAACCACTATGAGCAGGAATAGTCTTTTTGTGGGCTATGCTGTGATTGGTGTTCCATGACTGAGTAACAACCAGACAAACTAATTTTAAGATTTGCATCTTAAGCAATGGTTGCTTGCCTGACGTACTGACCAACAGACCAGAAATGAATTTCTGCAGAAGAGGAAGGATGGGGAGAAAAATGATCCAGGATACAATTCATTTAAGTTTGGGCTAAAATAAACAGTTTATTTGGGGAACGTAAGCAAAAAGAGCATCAAACGGTAATCCGCAAGAACTGCTGTGTAAAGACACGGAAATATACTCTCTGACCAATACAACCAGAGATCTAAAAAGGAAAACATGCTTTTGGGGAGATCTATATTATTCGGGGGACAAAAAAACAGAAAATTTTAAACTGTAAAGCATTAAATACAGCGCACAATTTAAAAACTGACTGACTGTTATCTCACCTCATCCAGTTGCATTTAGATTCATCAAAGGTCCCTGGTTTGGACAAATTCCTCTCCTGCACCTGAATTGAAAATATTTTTGGTACGGATGTATGTATAAATGAAGTTACTTGCTTTGACAAACATATCAGCTAATGAAAGTTGGGAAATTTTTAGAAGGAGCACAGTACGTTATTGAAGATTTACCGAAGAACTAAACTTTATGACCATTATATGCAAGACAGAGAAGATTAAACTTCAAAAGCAACCCCTGATTACTACCTGCACTTCCGTTTATTATTATACCAGTTGCGTTGCAGTAAAATGGCCAGCATTGTGTAGAGAGCTCACAATGTTACCAAGTTAAAGAATCACATTTGGTGGCGGAAATTATGGGGATTTAGCAGAGGGGCAGCAAGCTATTAAGTCCTTCAAGCCTGCCCCATCATTAAATTTGATCATGGCTGAACATTCAGCACAATGCCACTTTCTTCACTCTCTCCATATCTTCTGATGCCATTAATCTCCAGAAATGTATCCATTTCTGATTTGACACTTCCACAGCTCTTTGCAGAAGAGAATTCCAAAGATCGAGTGAAGAAACTGCTCCTAATCTCAGACTCAGAAATAACAAACATATCAATTTTAAAAATGAGCTTTAAAAATAACATACCATCTGGGAATACAGCTTTTCAATAGAACCTTGTTCAACAGCAATCTGGCCTTCATATGGTCCAAATATCACACCTTTAGGAATGGCCTTTGCTGTACACCACACGCCAAGCCCTCCATCGCGATTCCCTGATGGTCCCACTGCAAGTCCATGAGGAATGCTGTAAAATGCTCTCAAAGGGGTATCAATCCCAACAGGCGTGTCAGTGACAAACACTGGTGGTTCATGGGCAGTACAGCCACCCACAAAATAATCCTGACAATCTTCACAGGCTATGATAAAGAATGTAAAAAACGTCTTTACCTTCAGGAGCAACTTTTGAGAAAGAAGTGAACACTTTTCAGAGAATTATCTCCAATAACAAACATCTATGCAAATGGAAACAGTAAAGGCAAAAATCTGTTCATTTAACTTGTGCAGATATAAAGTGTGAACCAGTTTTTAGTCAAAGTTGAAGTACACCTCCATTCAAACAAGCAGAAAATACACGCTGCTATGTTGCAAACAGAAGAAATAGTACTTGGAAATGAGCAGCTTAGAAGACAGACTAAAAGGAAAAGTAAGATGTAATAATTATAAATTAAATAACAAAAAAAACAAAAAAAAAAAAAAAACTGTCGAGGCTAGAAATCAGAAACAAAAACAGAAATTACTGGAAAAACTTAACAGGTCTGGCAGTTCTTCAAAAATGAAGAAGGGTCACTGGACCCCAAACTTTAACACTGATTTCTCCCCACAAATTAAATAACTACTGCTGGTTTGTGATCAGTAGTTTTTCCAGCCAGTCTATGCCTTTGAAAACGATAATGATGTATACATGCTCACATGCACTGCAGGGCTTCTAGCACAGATTTTTGCCATCCTACTGCAGCTTAAATAAATCACAGTTCATACACCAAAAATATAAATAGTACAACAATACATTATATGACTAATGAGGTAAAAATATCACATATACCCAAAATTATACAATGCACAGATCAAATTTTTGAAATAAAATATCAGGAACATAAGAATGGGAGTAGACCATTCAGTCCCTGAGACTATTCTATCATTCAATGAGATCATAGCTGATCTGTGGTCTAACTCCATATACCTGCCTTTGGCCCATATCCTTAATACCATTATTAAACAAAATTTATCTATTACAGATTTAAAATTAACAATTCACCTAGCATCAACTGCTACTTGTGGAAGAGTGTTCCAAACATCTACCACCCTTTGTGTGTAGAAATGCTTCCTAACAACTCTCCTGAATGGTCTGGCCCTAATTCTCAGACTATGCCACTCGTTCCAACCAGTGGAAATAGTTTTTCTTTATCTACACTGTCTTTTCCTGTTAATACTTTAAAGACTTCGATGAGAACACCCCTTAACCTTGTAATTTCTAGAGAAAAACCGTCCAAATTTGAACAATCTCTCCTCATAACCTAACCCCTGAAGTCTACGTATTATTCTTGTTGAACTCCCCCCACCCAGGCCAATATCTCCTTCCTAAGGTGTGGTGCAGGGGAGGCGATGGCCTAGTGGTACTATTGCTGGACTGTTAATCCAGAAACCCATATAATGTTCTGGGGATCTGGGTTCAAATCCTGCCATGGCAGATGGTGGAATATGAATTCAATAAATATCTGGAATTAACAGTCTAATGATGATCATGAATCCATTATTGATTGTTGGAAAAACCTATTTGTTCACCAATGTCCTTTAGGGAAGGAAAATGCCATCCTTACCTGGTCTGGCCTACAAGTGACTCCAGACCCACAGCAATGTGGTTGACTCTTAACTGCCCTCTGGGCAATTAGGGATGGGCAATAAATGCTGCCTGGTCAGTGACGCCTTCATCCCGTGAAAGAATTTTTTAAAAATCTGCTTACAGTACTCCAAGTGGGGTCTAATATTGCAAAAGAAGACATTTCAAAGGTGCATAAGAGAAAATATGAAGGGAATGGGACATCTGGGCACATTCAGCTTTCAACCAAATACAAAGGCAAAACTTTTGGTGGTGAAATCAAGGTAGATAAATGGAATCAATTTACAGATCAGCTGCAGCTAGTGCCCAAAATTAAAATTTACTTACACGAGTTAACATTTTCACTGCTGCTTCTTTGCGGAGCACTGATGTCATCTGTTAGCTCCCTCAGAGCTGCCGCCTGCACCTCATCACACTGATCTGAATTCATGCTTCCATTAAGCATCACTTTCTATAAGAACAAGTGGAGACCGTTTAACAAAAAAAAAGAGGAAGACGATCATTATGCAAGATACGCACTTAGAAACTCAATCACTCCTGTAGACAAACCAACAACCACACAAAAATCAGAATAGCGAGGAGGTTAATAAGTTCATAACCAGCAAGAACTCAAAGATGATTTATGGCCCCAAAAAGTTAAAATTCATTGGCTCAAATGTAACTGGTTAATGAATGGTGGCTACAATTCGTTAGACTTTCTTTCGTATATTTAATCTTTATTATATTTTGTGAGGCAAAACGCTAGAGGTAGACACAGAGGAATGTTCTTTAAAGGCATCTGGTATCTGAATGAAAGACAGCCCACTTTGTATCTCTATGCTAATCAGACTGAAGCATCATGAAATTCACAGCTCGCAGTCTAAACAAGGAAGATATAATTTCACATCATTAAAGAGGGAACTTCAAAGTAAGTGAGAGAGATAGTAGGAACTGCAGATGCTGGAGAATCTGAGATAACAAGGTGTAGAGCTGGATGAACACAGCAGGCCAAGCAGCATCATAGGAGCAGGAAGACTGACGTTTCGGGCCTAGACCCTT